CTCCACTAGGCCTGTTTCACGGGTCCGTAGCGCACTTGCTGCATGCTATCGAACCATAAGAATGGTGCAAACTTGGGTTTGGTTGCCGAGTTACCTCCCACGCGGTTCACTGCTTCAAGGTGGCAAAATATATCTTGGATCTACTCAAGATAATCACATGACACCACGGTGTCCGTCAGGAAAGGAGAGAATCGGACTCTTTGTTGGCCTAAAATGCTCATCAAAAGTTCAGTTAGAAGAATCCGCTCAATAGTACTAGGAGTTTTGCTGTCTTAGTATGATTTTTGGTTATATCATGGCTAGCGCACTCGCTCGACGTGGGGGACAGGCGGGTACGAGTCCCGTCTGGAGCCTGAGTTTGCCCATAACTCAGCATTTTTGTGAGTATCAGGAATATGCGCTCGAAAAATGTTCAAATCGTGCAGAACTCCCTTTTCCCCTAGAGATGTTCGCCTTCTCTAAATCGTTTTTAGCGCCGGACTGTCCGGTCCAACCTTTCCAATATTTGAGACCTCCGGCGTTTTTGCCTTGTAATGGCCATGCAGTTCTTGGAAAAGCTGTCAGGCTGAATTTCCGGTTTATTCATCCACCTCGTCAAAGTTTTTCTCACCCCCCGGAAAACATATAGCCGACGAAAGATCGTTGCTTTGATATGTATAACGCAACAGGCCTTTGTTCGGCATTATTTTAAAGCCTGATGTTCTCGCAATAGCGCTGCCGTCGCCATCCTGTTCTAGCAGCCACCTATCAGGCGACCTTGTCACTTTCACTTCGCTTATTTAAAATTTTTCTCTCGCGCTAAAGAGAATTACACGAAAGGAAATCCCTATAAACAGATTACCAGAGTGCACTGAGTGGGACCAGTACCAGCCCAATCAGGTGAACTTGCAGAGCATGAGCTTCAACAGCTCACATGGTCACTTCTAGCGGATCCGATTGACTTGGTAAATAGTAGACGAGACGTTTCACGATCATTTTGCTTCACGCCGACTGGATCTCTCATCCAGCTGTCTGTTCGGCCGCGTCCCTACAAAAACGACCGAAATGGGGTCTGTCCGCAAAAAAAGCCGCTACCGGCACTTTGTTTGCAGGGCCGCTGGACCGCTCATTAGAAGAAGTCGTTCCGGTCGACGCTCTTGATCGGTGATGGTGGCGGTGATTGTACGGGGTCATCGAACGGGTATACTTGAATCGACCCACGCCACGACTTAGCTATAAGCCGGGGGAACTTGAATTTTCATAAGTTCGCGGAACATTGTCGCGCTGCCGACTAGCGCTGTACTAGATTTTGATCGGAGAAACCGATACCGAGGGCTACACTGGGTCTCGTGGCGCTTCTATGGGTTTTTCGCACACTAGCATTTCAAAAGGGTAAGCGACGTGCATACTTGCAGTCCTTGAAAAAATCGCTTGACAACTTTCACTGATAGGGATCTTATACAGGCACGTGTGATTATTTATATGCGACAAGGTCGCCGACAGATGGCCGATATGCGGTACGACACTTTGTCGGAAATTCTCGTTCAAATTCCGAGCTCTTCTACCTGACGGCCCAACGAGAAAAGTAAGCTCAAGGTACGGTGGGAGGTTCCCTTGAAAAGTTATTTCCGTTCTAAACAAGGGCACATAGTGGATTGGGGATCTCGGTCGAGTCCTACGACCCTCGCCCTCGGAGGGGCCGGATGGCCTAATACGACCCCCCTCCCCTTTTTACGGTTCCAATTTGTTCTTTTCTAGAGCACTTCCTGCGCTAAGGAAAGTTTTTGGAACGTACGCCCCCCCCTACCCAGTTCTTACCTCTGTTCGATCGAAAAGTATACTGCACATGTGCAACGGGAAAAACCGAAAAAAGTCAACAAATCTTTTCCAACACCGCAAATGTCTCTCAGAATGAAAAACCCCCTCCCCCCCTCCCCCTCTCACAACAACGAGCGAATACGAAAGCTCCCTCCACCACCTTATAGCGTCCGTAACTCAAGAAAAATCTACAATAAAAAAAATTTATCAGACGAAATACGACCCTCCCTCCCCACAGCGACCGAATAGGACCCATTCCTGTGCTGGGGATCTTTAACGATGATGTGCCCTGTCCTAGACGGGTTACCTGCTTCCATGCAATGCAGTCGCCGTCGTTTCAGAAAGAAAAAACCAACGGCAGGCGATGGTAGCAGCTGATTGTCCTGTCCAACAGCGTTCAGCGCAATCTAGACCCAAGCCTCCGATAGCCACGACATGGCTGACTGGGTACGAAAAACCTGCCATAACATCCTCGGAAGAGCCCTTGTTTTTGCGCTATTCGATACAGTACAGTGTTATGGAGGGCGCCCAGTGGTATAGATTTCACGGAACGCTCCATTCTGAAGAACCACTGATAAAGTTCTTTCCAGGAGGACATTCCAGCACGGACTTCAGTACGAGTCGCTTCATTTTCGTTACATTCCTAAAGCGATGGTCGTATTTTTAGTCGCTATAAGGGACGAAAACATTTATTTTCGGGAGATTTTTTACCGCAAATTTTTTTTCTGTTATATGCGTTCTGCGCATGCTACCCCACCCCGCTAATTGCCGTCGGGTCGCGTCATTCTGCTTTACCTGATGATGCGTTAGCAAGGGCCTGCCCTCCATATCCTTTTTCCAAGACATTCGGGAGTTGTGGTGGGAGAGGGACACTTGAAGGAAACTATGAGGAGATTGAATATAGGAAGAGTTTTGCACACCATAAAGTGTCCCGGCTCAGAGTGTCGGTATTTTCGCACAAATTAGGTGTTTCCACCTAATACTCGTGACTTAAGTGTCCTCAAAATATCGCCCTATAAAGGCACTGTCAGTGTAGAGGCAAGCACCACCGTCGCACAATCTATGAAAAGGAGTCCGCCATGTTGGTCAAGGCACCCCGAGAGGCTTACGAAGCCGGTCGGGAAGGATAACTGCACGCACGCGAATCCCTCACTGGTCCGCAGGTCATTTCTTTGGCAGAAGGGGATCACAAATTATCCCCCTCCATTCCTAATAGAGCTCCAAGTAACAGCATTTCCTGATGGGGCTGACTGTCGCTGCTCGCAGCCTGAGAAATTTATTTATTTATTTATTTATTGATATACACTCAAAGGTGCGCCACAAGTTATGGGAAAGTACAGCCAGGTATACTGATAAAAAAAGAATAAAACATTTGGAAACAACAAATGAAACGAATATGAAATACTCGTGTCAGCACGAACCCCGTCTCTCGAGTTAGGATCTTGGCACGACCACCACTCCCCAACACCTGAACACCTCCCTACCAATTTCCCCATTTCCCAGTTTTTCACCCAAAGAGATTTTTGACGGGTGTAGGGGGATGGGACGGGGGAAGGGGGGTACATAGTGCACATGAAACAGGGAGAATCGTGTGAAAAATCACGAAACTCAACAAGCGGGAAGCGGGGAGCTCTTTTCCCCATCACTGCAAATTGCTCTCAAAGGCACACACGAGCCCCCTCCCCAGCTGAAAAGTACGACCTCCTATGTGTTTTGCACAACGATGCTGTACCCTGCCCTTTAAACTCCTGCACTATCTGGGTGGGTCAATGTATCCGAGGTATTTTCAAATTTGACCCTTTTGACAGGTGTTCGCAGGGTCACAGGGTGCAGGACAGGTGATGGCATGGCTTACCCAAAAGGAGGGGGGGGGGTTGTATCTGGTCTGGGAGAGAGGGGAGTTCGTATTTTCTCGCGCTTTTTCCCGACTCACACGTATATTTACCCCCGCTCGATAGGATAGCTCGATGAGGTTCGTACCGAATCCTTTAAAAAGACGGGGGTTGTACGGACTCGACCAGCATCCCTTTCCAATGATGTGCCTTGTTACAGGGTGCTGACGAATGTCCGGTATTCACATGCATTTTTACAGGATTTGTTATGCTGACAGGCGCTTACAGCAGGGCACGCCATGACGTTGTGACGCATTCCTGAAAAATAAGACCCCCCAATTCCATCCTCTGACACGGCCCTCCTTCCCCATCCCATCCTACCCTCAACTTTCTTAGATTTTCCCAAATTTCTACGACTTTTTCTTTTCCGGCATTTCCCTAAAAGTTCCTAGTTTTTCCCCAAAATTTTGCTCTCGAGCGCGGGGAGGGGGAATGGTGGGGTATATAACACAGGCAAACGGGAGAACCACATGTAAAAAAAGTAAAGTTTCGCTGTCGAACGAGGGAAAGGGAGGTCGTCAGGAACTACTATTTTCAACTACGACCCCCTCCCCAACAACGAGCAAATACGACCGCCCCCCTTATAGCGTCCGTGAAACAAGAGAAATCAACTATCAAAAAATTTTTCTCAGACCAAATACGACCCCCCTCCCTCGCGGTCAAATACGACCCCCCCTGTTGTGATTATCACAACGATGGCGTGCCCTGGCTTACAGACGTGTCCTCCGCCAAGGTTATAAGCGCCGGATATTCTTTCCTCCAAAGTAGCCGCCTTTCTTCTAGCGGAATAAGATTCATCCTTCGTTTTAGGCAGCAGAGAAGTTGTCTGAGTTTCATTTGCTTCATTCCTCAGCGGCAATAAGATTCAAAGCCGGATGGATAGACCTATTAAGCAAGTGTGTCTGGGCACTTATGAGCACGCGATGATGTGGGTATGAGAATTGCGGATGGATCGGTCATCTTGTCAGATGATAGAGATCATCCACCATAATGTCACTAATGTAAATCTCCAAAGCTCACCCCATTCAACCGCTATCACGCAAATTGATTATAATTCGAGTTTCATCTGCCGACTGACCGACCAGCTAGCCGAGCGACGGCGGTTTCAAGCATGTTCGGTCAGAACATACAATCTATGATGTGATTACACTGAAATAAAAACAATAAGGATCCTTTTGATGAACTTATGAATGAGATTTGGTGGTTAGGTAATAAGGCTCTGGAAACCCGCACGCGGACCGGTAAACCGATGAGAGAGGCGGAGTCGCGAACCGCTATAAAAGCCGCCAGGGGCATTTTGATGCTATCGGTATGTATTCCTCCGATAGCAGCGACGAGAAGAAGCTGTGGCTTGAGGCTGAAAGCCTCCGTCGCATCGCCTTTTTCGGCATCTGTATCAGGTACTTATTAACTGTTCATTTACTGTTTTTGTTGCAAGTTTCGCAGTTTTCTGAAAATTATCGCTTTATTGTTACTTGCATTATGAATTCTCTTTCAGTACCGTCGCCACTCTGACGGCCATCGTTGCTATTCCATCCTTGTACAACTACATGCAGCATGTCCAATCATCCTTACAAACCGAAGTTGAGTTCTGTAAGCACCGAACGAATGGACTTTTCGACCAGTATGAGCGTATGCAAAGGATTAAAGGCGTACGAGGAGGTATCGTAAAACGTCAAGCCGGATATGACGCTCCCGGCGAATACAAATCACCAGATGCAGCAGTGCAAGGTGATACCATACAGCAAGGTTCATCTTGCTGCAGCTGCAAATCAGGACTTGCCGGACCACCTGGTCCTCCCGGACTCGATGGTCCCGATGGAAAGGACGGTCTACCAGGCGCCAATGGAGAGCCTGGTACTGATGCCGAACCTGATGCAGTTCCTACTGCTGATGACTTCTGCTTCGATTGCCCTGCTGGTCCTCCAGGACCACCAGGAAACCCAGGACCCTAAGGGACCTAACGGAAACCCTGGGGCTGATGGGCAACCTGGACCTGACGGCCAACCCGGCCAACCTGGACCACCTGGACCACAAGGACCTCCTGGTGCCGATGGAGAACCCGGCCAACCTGGTGAACAAGGAGCACCTGGAGTCGTCGAGGAAGTTGCAGTACCTGATGGTCCAGCTGGACCTCCAGGACCACCCGGACCTCCAGGTCCAGATGGACAACCCGGAGCACCTGGTCAACCTGGAATGGATGGACCTCAAGGACCACCCGGAGATCCAGGACGCGATGGAGCACCAGGAAACCCAGGAGCTCCTGGAGAACAAGGACCACTTGGAGAGACAGGAGCTGGAGGTGGTTGCGATCACTGTCCTCCTCCAAGAACTGCTCCTGGATATTAATCTGGCAGGAGTGTACACTTGTATTTCTGTATTCATTGCTCTCAAAATACGACCTCATCAAAATAAAGCTATAATTTGTTCTTCTATTAGCACAATTATACAGTCTTAGGATGAAAACTATTGTAAGAATGACTGGCGCAGTTCGGCACGGAGGGGCATTTTGCACTTTCGCTGCTTCACTAGTTCCGGTTTACAAGTCTCACTCTGGTGAAACCTGTGAACTCTGTGAAGCTGGAGCAAGCTCGTCAAGCCACCATGGTAAAACCTGTCAACTCAGAAAAGGCTCTCTAGATGGGTCGACACGTCGATGGGAAGTAGCAAAAGTGCAAAATGCCCCCTCCCCTCTCCGAATGATTTGTGGTGGTAATCGCAAACGCGCCGGAGTGGGCGTACCCATATAAGGTTCGATTCATAGCGGATCTTGAGACGACGGGATGTGGATTCAGTTTGTACAAAGAAAAGCGGTTCGATTTTCCGTAGACAGAAATGCACGAGAAATGCGAGACGATAGCCGGGCAATAGGGGCTTTTTCACAGCTTTGCGGTTACTCACCTTTGCTAACGAAAAAAGCCGAAAAAATGGGAATTTCTGCAGGGACCGCTTAACCCGGATAGAGGTAGTTCGCGGATTTTAGAGTTCACAACTGAAAGTGAAATGCACTCACTAGTCGTAACTTTGAAATGAACGAATGACCGACCACCCATCCAGTCCAGTGCAATGCGACGTTCGGTCGAAATTGCGACGTTTGAACAGGAACAAACCTCCGTTACAGCCTTGTCGCTCTTTCAGGACAGGATTGAGTCCAGATACCGGTTTCTAGGGTGCTGCCAGTTTATCTTTCGGGTAATTTACACTGCGCTGCTCAACGAATCTATAATATTGGGTTGATAAAATGTCCTTCTTTGTTGCTTCACGCTTTATAGTAAGAAGAGTAATATAATAT